TTAAGCCGGTTCATCGTTGTGCTTTCTTTAGAATTGCGTCATCGTTGTGTTGTGTTTTTTTTTGCATCATCTCGCCACACTTTCGCATCTTTACGCCCATTTAGGTCGGTCGATGGAGCGTTGCCGAAGGGCAGCGATACGCAGACCATTGGAGGCAGTTCAGAAAGCAGCGAAACGCTCTACCCGCAGCCGGTGGATGGCGGATATGGCTGGATGATCGTGTTCGCTGCTTTCCTCGTGCATTTGATCGCCGATGGCATTTCATTCAGCTTTGGAATCCTCTACACGGAGATCCAGCAGTTCTACGGCACGGGCAAGGGCGAAAGTGCCATCGTCGGGTCTATCTTCATGGCCCTGCCGTTGCTGGCCGGACCGCTCGCCAGTGCTATGATCGACCGTTACGACTGCCGCCGGGTGACGATATTCGGGGGGCAACTTAGTGCCATTGGCTTCCTGCTCAGGTAAGATAATATTTCATCGATGATCCGTCTGTGTCGTTGTTTCTTCTTCACCATATTTTCTCTTTTTGGTCTGTCTCTATCGTTTCTTTCTGTCATGTTTTTGCATCGACTCTCTTAATCGCTCTCTCAGTCCAACTTTCGCGTCATTTTCTTATTTCGCTTTCTCTTGGTTTCTTCTTAGTTCATCTCTTCCCAATTTTGTTATTCTCGTGGTTTTTTTCTGTTTCCAATTTTCGTTTGCTCTTCGGTTTCACTGTTTCCTTCTCTTTTTGACTCTTCAAAGTTTTCTCTGTGCGCCCTTCTATTTCCGTTTTTTTGTTTTTACTAGTCATATCTCGATGTTCAGTATCACAGTTATGCTCTATTTTATGTACTATTTATAATATACTGTACATTGCTTATAATGTTCTTATTTGTAGTTGGTTTGCGCCTAACATCGCCACTCTGTCACTGACTTTCGGCATCATGTCCGGCTTGGGTCTCAGTTTTTGTTTTACGGCGGCGATCGTGTCTGTGACTTATTATTTCGAGAAGAAACGCGGACTGGCCACAGGTCTGGCTGTATGTGGCAGTGGACTTGGTACTTTTACGTTCGCACCGCTTATTGACTTTTTATTGGAGAAGTACCTGTGGCAAGGAACCCTAATAATTTTGGCAGGCATTCTGCTGCACCTTATGGTGTGCGGCGCGTTGATGCGTGAACTCGAGTGGCCTGAAGACACGTTCGAGTACAAGAAAACTAAATTCCTCCGTTCGCTCGATGCCGTCAGTCACATCGTGCATGGTAGTAGCGCCACGAACGTTAAACAGCCTACGGAGTCTAGTCCTTTCACTGACGTATTTCACAGGCAAACTTTAGACAGACATGCGGTGTCTTGTTTAGAGATACCGACGTTTTTGCGTGAGAGTATTTTTTTCAACACAAGTCCCATCCACTTTGATCACCCTGACACGACGCGAAC